GTAATACCCGCCCCTTTTTACAACACTTTCCATCATCCTACCCTCACATAAATAGGCCCGTCCCGGCCCCAAAAGGTAGGCCCAAAACATCCACATTTCCCAACCTTCGTGGGGCCCCCCAGTCCCCGGGTTTTCTTATATAAAAAAGACAAACAAAAAAGGTGGTTAAAAAATGGCCCAAAAAAGCCCAAAAAATGACCTTTTTAAAAAAAAAGGGAAAAATTTTTGAAAAGTTAATCAGCCCCAAAAAAGTCATAAAACCTTTGGGAAAATTTTTGTGTCGGTGATCGAATTTTTTTCCGACATTGTAGCTTTATTACATTGTACTATCTTTGCACTCCCGCACTGCCAATGGGTTTCCCCCATCACGGGAAAATATAGACCCTTTATAAGGTAATGTGACGTCACCTTTTTCCCTGACCCTTGGCACAAATAAATGATAACTGTGCCTGCAGTCACGTGAGGGGACGGGAAATTTAGCTAGGCGGGGGTTTTGAAAACCGTGCGCGACGTTTCCCAATTTAGTTTTTCACGTACGTTGGCACGCGTTAAAACAATAAATTTTACTTATGGTCATTCAACGACCCCCATGACAACGTCATGGTGACAAAGTCATAGTATGGTCGGGGCCCTTTAAAATTTGGAATAAACTAAGGGCACATTCTTTCAAATTTCCCTTTTCAATTTTGCTACGACACCTCCTTTTTAAAATTTTGGGTATTCATTATCTTGCTTTGAATCAGGGGTTAAACATACAAATTTAAAAAGGTAATTTGGGGGCCCGTTTGTACGGGACCAGGGAAAAGAGTGGGATCTTGGGGTCCACACCTTTTGAAAATTTGCACTAATAGTGAGTGGGGCGACGATAAGGAAGTGTACTTCTACTCACGGACGGGGGACTTGCAGGAAAAACTCCCGGCCCCAACCCTTTGTAAATAAATGACTTTCGAAAATGGCTGGTGTGTTTGCCCAAAAGGGGCTCCCTTTGTAAAGGGTCTCCCCTCGCTATTGCAAAGTTGGCGTATCACACAACCAGGGGCTCAGGGGTTAGAAATAGGTGATTTTTTAACCCTTAATTTAGGTGGAGGTGTCAAAAACATACCCCGCTTTTCTGAAGGGGTTTTTTGAGGGTTAATTTGGGGGGCACCTACTGGGGAAAAGGGACCCTGGGCCCAAAAATAAAGTTCAAATTTGGAAAACAATCTGATTTACACGGAAAAAAAATTTCCCAGGGACTAAAAACAACAAACCCTTGGGTTTTAAAAAAGTAAAAATAACTTTAATTTATAAATAAACCAAACCCTTTCCTGATTTTTTCTCCCCTTAAAACCCCGTGTTTTTGTTTTTTGTCTAATTTTCAAGGGGTGTTAAACATAAAAACACATAAATTTAAAATAAGGATATGTGGAAAAGGGTATGGGTTTTTGGGCAAATTTATCTCTTTTTGATTATAAGTCAGAAAAAATTTACAAAGGCGGAAAAAATTAAAAGTTTAACTTCATTAATATTAATTTAATGGGAAAAAAGCGAGCCGCTAGTTCATTTTTGGTATCATTTTGCATTTGCAGAAAGGTCAAACAAAATTAAAAATAATTTCCTTTTGTTTGGGGAAAAAGAACACTGGCAGCGGTCCACTCAGTGGGGGTAACGAAAGGCCCGCTACCCCCCTGTGCGGGGGGGGCCCCTCTTAGGGGGGGGCCCCTTCGCGTTTGAATGGGGACAATTTCAAAAAATTAACTAAAGTAAAAGGGAAAACTGCGCGTTTTGCTCAAGATACACCTTTTTTTTAATTTTAAAATTCGGCCCTTTTCCTAAAATCAAACCCAATTTGTTTTTTTTAGGGGGGGCACCCCAAAAGGGGGGGGGGCGCCAACAGGGGGGCGCTTTTTTCGGGGGGGGGCGCCAACAGGGAACGTTCCCCCACTGGGGCCACTTAAACCCCTGAAAAAAAGGGTTTTTCCAAATAACCCTTTCCGAAAAAAAACTTTAAAATGAAAACTGACGTCAAAAAAGCAAAATTTAATTGGGAAAAATTTTATATTATGAACGATATGAGGGCCCATCACTGATCTTTGAAATGAAAACCCGTGAATAAAATTTCAACTATTGATGTTGTATGGAAACCCGCTCACACTTTGACACCTATCCAATTTTTCAAATAAAAGCGAAAATATCCTAAATTTTAAAAAGGGGACTTTTGAATTTAAGTTGCTGCCGCCCCCGGCCCAAAATTGCAAAAATAATACTTTTACTAAACTCGACTATACTTGCCCCGACGATTGTTTTTTCGGGCCAAATTTTTGGATCAGACAATGGGGTTACAGACTGTTCCCGGGAGATGAAAGGAGGGGAACCCAAAAATGATCCTACCTGCCTTTCCGTCCAAATGGAAAAGGGGTAGCCTCGGGGGCAGGGAAAACAAAAAAAGTGGGCTGCCATTTAGTAAGTTGGGGGGTTTTCCCAAAAATTTTTGGGGGCCGAAGGGCCATCCTTAAGTTTTTGTTAAAACTTAGAAATGCAATAATGTAAGCGAATAAACATTTAAATGAAATTTCTGAACCCTCCCAAAAAGAAAAAAACGTTTTAAACGTTAAATAACGACGGTTTGGGTTTAAAAGGGTTTTTTTTTTTAACGTTTTCCCCAAAAGTGTATGCCTTTAGTTAAATTTAAAGGGTTTTTTTATTAACTACTAAAAGCCCGGGAACAGGGGCGAAGCTAGTTGTATTCTTTGGACTTTTTGGGGGGGAAAATTTTTTAAACGCTCAAAAAATATCCACTCAACCGAAGATACAGCGATTTAAAAATTAAAACACTTTAAAAAACAACGTAATTAAACCCCCAAAACCGGGTCAAAATACGGGTTTTTAAAAAATCTTTGCCCCGTGCATGCGTGGCCCTTAAAACACCGTTGCTATGGGGCCTTTTGGTTGTTACCTAAAATTTCCCATTTCCCCGTTAATTTTGCACGTGGGGGGGCGTACAACAGAAAGAATTCCTGAATTAAATTTGAGACTAGAAAGCCCGTGGTTTAGAGGGGGGAAGCTAATTTGTAAAACTAAAAGTATTTTTTGGAGTCCCGTTTTTATTGCCCTCCCAAAACATCAACAAATTTTCCGCACAACCGAAGATACAGCCGATTAAAAAAATAGCTCGCAAAGAACACAACGTAATTACCACAAAACCGAAAAAAATGTCCCCCGCAAATCTTTCACGTGCGCCTTTTTTAATACAATTAAACCCTTTTACTAGCCCCCTTCCTTTTTTTTTAAACAAAATTTGGGACTTGGGGCGGTCGAAAATACAAAATTAATTTTTTGAATTATAGTAGAGATAAGCAAGTTACAAATTCAAATACATTTTAACGGTTTTAGGTTTTAAAAAAAACCCCCCTAGAACATTCTTAAACGTTTAAAAAGCTAACGACAACGGGGTTTTTAAAGGTTTTTTTTTTAAAAGTTGCTAAACGTTTTCTTTATAACGTTGATAAAAGGGTTTCTTTTAAATTTAACGTTGAAAAAATTTAAAATCGTTTTTTAAAGTTGGATTTAGATTGTAAATAAAACGTTCTGGAACGTTTTTGGTCAACGTTTGGGTTAAAATAACTTTTTTAACGTTGGGGATGCAAGGGTTTTCCTAACTTTTTAAAAAAACGTTCAAAAAACCCAAAGTTTGGAAAAGGGATTTTTCCCCTATACAGCCACTTTTACGGCCAAATATGGCCCTAACGGGCCTTTTTTGGGGCCCCTATTCGGGCCCAATTTTAAAAGGCCCAAAATTTTTAAATTATATTTCATGGCCTTTAATTTCGGCCCCCTAAAAAGGCCACACAAAAAATAAAATTATGTTTTCCCCCTATAAAGGCCCTTTTTATATAACGGGTTTTACACGGCCCCCTTTCGAGCGCTATACGCTTTATACGGCCCCTAAAACCGGGATCGACCCGAAAAAAAACCCCAAAAAATTTTACAGCAGTGATAGAAAAAAATTAATCGAAAAATTTTTTACAATTGTAAGCCGTGAATGAATGGGAAAAGCGAGCGACCCGAGTTCATTATCGGTATCATTTTGCATTTGCAGACGGTCAATCAATTTAATATCATTTCCTTTTGTTTGGAAAAGAGAGACACTGGCAGCGGTCCACTCTACCCATGATATTGGTTTGGCCAAATAACGTATGCGAATAAACATAAACTGAAATACCTGACGTCAACAATTAGCAAAGATTAGTAATTGTAAATTTGATATTATGATATCGATATGAGGTCCCATCACTGATGCTCGAAATGAATTCCTGTGAATGTTAAATGCTACTATTGTAATGTCTGTATGCGAACACCCGCTCTCACTTTGACACCTATCCAATATTCAAATAAAAGCGAAACCTCCCTAAATTCTAAAGGGTACATCGAATCTTAAGCTGCTTGCCAGCGGCGAAACTTGCAACTAATACTTGACTAAACTCGACTATACTTGCAGACGATTGTTTTGCGGGCCAGTTTCTGGATCAGACAATCGTAAGCCGTGAATGAATGGGAAAAGCGAGCGACCGAGTTCATTATCGGTATCATTTTGCATTTGCAGACGGTCAATCAATTTAATATCATTTCCTTTTTGTTTGGAAAAGAGAGACACTGGCAGCGGTCCACTCTACCCATGGATTATGGGTTTTGGCCAAATAACGTATGCGAATAAACATAAACTGAAATACTGACGTCAACAATTAGCAAAGTTTAGTAATTGTAAATTTGATATTATGATACGATATGAGGTCCCGTACTGATGCTCGAAATGAATTCCTGTGAATGTTAAATGCAACTATTGTATGTCTGTATGTGAACACCCGCTCACACTTTGGACACCTATCCAATATTCAAATAAAAGCGAACCATCCCTAAATTCTAAAAGGGTACTTCGAATCTTAAGCTGCTTGCCAGCGGCGAAACTTGCAACTAATACTTGATTAAACTCGACTATACTTGCAGACGATTGTTTTTGCGGGCCAGTTTCTGGATCAGACAACTGGCTGTACAGGACTGTCCGGCAGATGAATGGAGTGCACCAAACATAGATCCTACCTGCACTGCCTGTCCAACTGGAAAAGGGGTAGCCTCTGGAGCAGGAACACAAGAAAGTGACTGCACATGGAGTAAGTTGTTGTTTCCTAAAAATTTGAGGGACCGAAGGGTTCATCCTTAAATTTATTTTAATCTTAGAAATGCAATAATGTAAGCGAATAAACATAAATAATAAGTACAATGAAAACAACGATTCTACAAACTCAGAGTTTCATGCAAATGCAATCGTCAGTGTTAGAATAACTTACTAAATTAATAAATCCATGTTTTCCTTACAGGCTCCTTCATAAAATTAACTTAACTAAACTAAATCAAAAACAAAATCAAACGAGACGAAACGAAAAATGAAATACAAGAACAAAAACTAAAATTAAAATAAGATATTCCTAAAGCATTTCTTCAGCATAAACTTGTTGGTGTGCCTACATTTACTTATGAGTTCCTTCCTCCTATTTAATAGATTGCCATCTTTATTTAAAATAATATAAAGTTTTTCAGTAAGGCAGAGATGACAATCTTTCGTACCCCCCTTGTACGGATGAGCATGTTTGATTATTTTCCAAGATATTTTATATGGTGTTTGTTTATCTTTCAACTCCCATATTTTCTTAGATAGCTCCGTCTGATTTCGTAGCTTCTCGAGTTTAAAAGAGCTTGTGTGGGAACTGAAACGGGTCTTAAAAGTGTTTTCAGTAAGCCCAATATATTTGTGCTCTTTCTTTTCCTTTTCCACTGCAATAGTTGCTTCATATATCACTGCTGCTTCCAGGCATTGTCCGTTCAGTGGGCACATTTCCGGCTTTCTGCAATTGCACGTTTTCGATTTAATTGTAGGTTCTTTCTGAGCTTGGTGTCTGGTGCTCGCTAAGATGGATCCTACGTTGGGTAGGCAACTGTATGATAGCTTAATTGTGTTTCTGTTGAACATTTTGTGAAATTGGTGTCCTCTGGGGAAGTGCTTGTCTAGTAATCGGAGGAAGCTTTTTGCCTATGTTTGTTGTTACATTTGAGCTGTATGGGGGGTTGAACCATATGATCTTCCTGGATCTCTTCCTGTTGGCTCGTGGCAAGGCGGTGCTAGTATCTGTAAACTCTAGTTGGTGGTCGTGGCCGCTTTCTTTAAGTGCTGTTCCGTAAATCCCTTTCGCTTTGTCAAACTCTTCTTTATTGCAGGAGATGTCCGATAGACGCCGGTTTATCATTTTGGGGAGCTGGTTTATGATTGTTGGTGGGTGGTTTGACTGCTTGTTGATATATAGCGGTGTGTCATTTGGCTTTCGGAAGGGGAAGTATTTCCCACTGTCAAGATTAAGTGTCACGTCTAGGAAGTCGACTTCAACGAGATTGGTTTCTATTGTGATCTTTAGTCCACAAGCTAACGGACCGAAACTAGACCGAATCCGGAAAAAGATCACTGCTATATTCAAGGAGGAAGGACTAAAGATCACTTCCGAAAGCCAAATGACACACCGTTATATATCAACAAGCAGTCAAACCACCCACCAACAATCATAAACCAGCTCCCCAAAATGATAAACCGGCGTCTATCGGACATCTCCTGCAATAAAGAAGAGTTTGACAAAGCGAAAGGGATTTACGGAACAGCACTTAAAGAAAGCGGCCACGACCACCAACTAGAGTTTACAGATACTAGCACCGCCTTGCTACGAGCCAACAGGAAGAGATCCAGGAAGATCATATGGTTCAACCCCCCATACAGCTCAAATGTAACAACAAACATAGGCAAAAGCTTCCTCCGATTACTAGGACAAGCACTTCCCCAGAGGACACCAATTTCACAAAATGTTCAACAGAAACACAATTAAGCTATCATACAGTTGCCTACCCAACGTAGGATCCATCTTAGCGAGCACCAGACACCAAGCTCAGAAAGAACCTACAATTAAATCGAAAACGTGCAATTGCAGAAAGCCGGAAATGTGCCCACTGAACGGACAATGCCTGGAAGCAGCAGTGATATATGAAGCAACTATTGCAGTGGAAAAGGAAAAGAAAGAGCACAAATATATTGGGCTTACTGAAAACACTTTTAAGACCCGTTTCAGTTCACACACAAGCTCTTTTAAACTCGAGAAGCTACGAAATCAGACGGAGCTATCTAAGAAAATATGGGAGTTGAAAGATAAACAAACACCATATAAAATATCTTGGAAAATAATCAAACATGCTCATCCGTACAAGGGGGGTACGAAAGATTGTCATCTCTGCCTTACTGAAAAACTTTATATTATTTTAAATAAAGATGGCAATCTATTAAATAGGAGGAAGGAACTCATAAGTAAATGTAGGCACACCAACAAGTTTATGCTGAAGAAATGCTTTTAGGAATATTTTATTTTAATTTTAGTTTTTGTTCTTGTATTTCATTTTCGTTTCGTTTCGTTTGATTTTGTTTTTGATTTAGTTTAGTTAAGTTAATTTTATGAAGGAGCTTGTAAGGAAAACATGGATTTATTAATTTAGTAAGTTATTCTAACACTGACGATTGCATTTGCATGAAACTCTGAGTTTGTAGAATCGTTGTTTTCATTGTACAATGCTCCCCTCCCGGGTAGAGCACTCTTGAAACTGGATTTCTCCAAAAGAAACATCATAAATAATAAGTATATATATATATATATAAATTATATATAGTAAGTAATAAGTATAGTAGTTATACGGGTTCCTGCTAGTACAAATAATCTCAAGATGTGAGTGTGTGTGTGTGTGTGTGTGTCTGTCTGTGTGTTTGTGCGTCTGTGGGAAATTTCCGAACGCTTAATCAAGAAAACGGTAAGAGTTACGGGGCTGATTTTTTCGGTATAGTGCCGAGAAAACTCTGACGGAGCTAAATGATAAAGGTTTTTTAAATCGGTTGGTGGTAAGTGGTTTAATTGATCATTTTGTGACCCAAATGTGATACTGTGTCGGGGTTCTCTCCCACTCTCGCTCTCTCTCTCCCCTCATAATAGATTTGCTATATAATTAGGTAATTTGGCAGTGGACCTCTAGAGTCAAGATTGCCTATCGAGTATTAATATTAGAATTAGATACGTGAGGGGAATTTAGAATTAATTTGCAGTGTGTTTGGATTGAGCGATTTCATACTTTCGCTCCGTTTTAACTACGAAAATGTAATTTACTTTTCAGAATATATTAGTCGGGATTATAAAAATGATAATTCAATCAGAGTGTATTCGACAATTTTTAACTCGGTTTCTTATTATGGGGTGATGACATTACGTGACAGCTGTAATCATCGAGAGTAAGATTGGGTACATAAATCATTGCCTTACTTAACACATGAACAATTGCACGTTAATGGCGTTCCAGTACTTGAGTACTACTAGTAATTAGTTCCACCAACTACATATTCTGATAAAGTTCGAGAATCTTCTTTACAATATTTATGTTTTCGTCCATAAGTTTGTTTACATCAGATAGACTAATAGTGGTGATAACTGCATCCATTAGAGCTCGTTCTTCCGTACTAAAAATATTTGTTAAATATGATCAAAACACAAAGCTTTGAAATATACTTTTTTCTGTTTGAGATTTGAATAACGTTACTGTAATGTTCCAAATTATATTTTAAATGTTTTAAAAACATTCATTATGATTAGGGGGAACATCGTGCCAGCTAGCTTTGTTCAACATTACCATGAACAAATATTCTGATTGTCATTTTTCTAGCGTGTTTCTTGGTTATTCTAAATTATTAAATTTACTGATTGCAACATAATATTATCACATCGCTACATCTGACACTGGAAACACGGATCATACTCGCCAAAGACACTTTTTCAGTCGAGTAGATATACCAAATAAGTTATGATGTTTATCGACGGGTGGAGGGGGGCTTGTCGGTAGTTTGATGCAAAACTGGCGGGTAGCCAGGACTTTCTATTTTTATTAATGGACATGTTCATTGGAAGTTGAGGTTATTGGTACGCATACAGAAATATTAACCAAGCATGTTCAGAAGTTCTCAACAAAGAAACTTTATTGTTGTTATGCACTATAATGTTGCAACTTTACATTTTTGTGAATCTATTAACTATTATAGCTGCCTATAGTTTAAGTTAACAGTATAGTATTCCTTATCCTAAAATGCAGTAGATTATTAATTAGATCAATCTAACAATCATAAAACATCATTGGTTAAAGAGCAGGGATTTGACGGTTATAAGGCAAGATTCGGTAAACTTTGTCGCACACTAAGAATATGATACCTATTTTCTACTGTGTCCTAAAAACTTTATTATATCAGGCTCCACCTATGGATAGAAGAATCGTCCATCAGGAAGATGAATAATTTTGCAGTGCCAGTTATTTTGTCGGTTGCATTCGATATTATCTTACCCATTCAGTTAAATTTTTGAACATTGAAGGACAAATTAACAGTTTAACGTACAGGAGTTAAGCGAACTAAGATAATCGAATAGTTGTAATTACTTGTTTATAGTTTCTAAATATGAATGTAAGATTTGTGTCTGTTCGTGGCCTTGCAATAATTAGTCAAAGCCATAAAAAATAGATCTTGCCGATATCTTTCTAGAATGAAGGTATCTTTTACTAAATTAAATTTCCCCTTCAGAAGAAGATGAACAGGGAGACAACCAGAACTACTCTGATGCAGCAGCCCTGAAAGTCAGCTTAATTTTCCTCGTCGTTCTCCTGTTTGCTGTAAATATGAGCATCTAAAATTGTTGTGGGCTTGAATGGTTCTACGGTACAAAACACTATTTTAACATGGTGTTTTATCGGGATATGATAGAAAAATAACAACTCAAAAACCCTGACGAATCTATAAATTTGTAATCTATAATTAAACTTTTGATATTTAAAATTTTAATATTTTAGACAACTTTTAATGTTTTAATAAAAAATAAAACTAAAAGAAAGAGACTGCGATTCAGTAATTATTGATATTCATTATATGTTTATTCAAAATACTTATTATATTTATTGTAATATACATTTTTTTCCCGATCCATGACTCTTGTGTCAGGACTAGGAACGTGAACGAAGCTTTTTTTTTATTTGGACCGAGTTAAATTGTTATGCATTGTTATGAGATGAGTGTCTCCATCACAGCTATAGCTTACACCAAATCATCAACCACTGAACTATGGACCAATCTGAACCGTTACCAAATAAAATTAACCGACACAAAAGACTAAAGTTTCCAATTTGAGGAAAAAATATCAAATGATAATTAATTAATTAGAAAAAAACTTAAAGACTGGTATCATGATTATTGATTAAGAATGATATTAATTGATTTGAATCAACCATATAAAATAGTATTAGTATCATATAAGGTGGAATTTGCGAAAACGATGTTATGGTTAATGTCAGTCTGCGACCCAAGACATTTATACTGGACCTCCAGGGATCATTATTTCAATAAAGCACCGCCATCATCTAATTTGATAATTGGAGAAGCAAGAAATAGACAAACATACTCGGTCTTAACCTCAATGATTAGTTTGTGCAAGGGCCGTCAATCACCTTAATAACACCAGAATGTGTGTGTGTGTGTGTGTGTCTGTCTGTCTGTCTGTCTGATCGTCTGTGTGTAATTTCCGAACGGTTATACAAAAAAAACAGTAATAGTTACGGGACTGGTTTTTTCGGTATAGTGCCGACAAAACTCTGACGAAGCCAATAAGCAAATTTTATAAAAATCGGCCGGTGGTAAGTGGTTTAATTGATGGTTTTTTACCACAAAATATGTTACATAAAATGGCTTGAGAAGAACGGCAAGAGTTACGGGGCTAGCTCTCTCTCTCTCTCTGCATAATATTATGTAGCGTATATATTACATGGCGTATATATTACATGGTCATATAATACTATAAACTTATTAGGGAGGGAGTGCTGAAACGGTCTGTTTGGACTGTAGAGAGAGTTCATACTTTCATACGACAATGTAATGCATGTTCACAAATATGATAGGCTGGTGTGGTGCATGGTGTTAAGGGTTAATTTCTATTGATTATTGATTAAGAATTACTATCTTTTAAGCATACTATTGGATACGTGAGGGCACTCCGAATAGAATTGCTCGCCTAATCCGGGTTTTGACTCAGCGGATAATTACTCCTACCCTTTTTAACTGCGGCAGTGAAATCCCGGCCGTAGGCCGGGTTACACTAGTGATAATAATAAAGTGGAAAATGAACATATATGCAACAATAAAAATGCAAATTCAATAAATCTTGGAATTTTTATCTAAAAATAAAGTTGCGACGAATTACTGAATTACTCATTATAATTGTTAGGCTGCAGGCTTGCCTACCCTGTACTCATAGAATAATCCATAACCTTCTAGAATATTCTGAAATATTTATTTTACTTTTAGTTCAGGAACGGTCATCAAAATGAGTTTGTAACAAGGTCGATTATATTTTTTTAAATTTCTAGCTTTCTCTCAGAAAATTGATTTGGCTTTCTATGGGAGGTAATTAGAATTACACTTACATTCACATTCTCAGATACAAATAAAAAGCATGCGAGATCACCTGGTCAAATGAGCGGGAAACGGAGAACATGAAGCTCTGGTGACGTTATATATCACGTGACCTCAGGCTCATAATCACGTGACCTCCGACCCGATCAATTGGGTTCTGTCTTGGTCAGCTCCCTGTTACCTGACCTTAATTGAGGTGACGAACGACACCTCGTTAATTCTATATATGTCTGAAAAGCTGCAAATTTTCACATGCCCAGCACTTAAGATTCTTAAGGAGTTGTGCAAGATGACGATTAATACATAGAGGCTGCAGAATTATTAGGACTACCAGATCCTCAACCACAGGCCATACTATAATACAAATACTACTGACAGCTGCTGATTTTATATTCGTGCCATACACAGTAGATATTTTAATCCCTACGTATATCAATAGTTTAACCTGAGCTGTATTATGGACCTTGTATAGCTAGTTATATGCAGATGTAGTCTGGCAAGTATACTTACCTGTAAATTACCATGATCGATTTAGTAACATATAGATTTAGAGTTGGAGTGTTTAGTGGAAATGCTTTTGCAAGAGCCATTAAACATCAAAACCGTAGACGTGGTACAGATAGTATCTTTGACATTTTAGACAGCTGCATTGATCTTAGCTTCTTTTTATATATATTCTATGTTTTATTCATATGCCATTTCTCACTCATCATCATCACTAGTGCGGGGGTTAGTGGGTTGGCTTTTTCTAGAGTCACATATGATTGCCGAGCCTTTGTACCAACATATCCAGTGCCTAACTTGTGCCGATATTTTACTGTATATTTCCTTCTACACTTAGCAAATATGTATTATTAACGGAATGATTATAGTTTCGATGGCCTTTACAATTTCTGCCATGTTACAATCTATAGTAATTTAAACTTTTTATCTACTGGTAGAGCTGGTATTGCACTAACTGGATGCATAATTTGGTTGTTCTTGTTGAATGGTATTTTGATAGTTTTTGTAAATCCTGGAATCGTAAACCCAGGACTCCCTCCTATAGATATTAGGTCGGGGAATAGTAAGGTATTGAATGTTTACTTTCAGAATACTCAAGGCCTTATTCCCTTCGGTGAGCTTAATAATGCCCACCTAATGCTTGATAACACCAAATGTCTTGAGCTTTCAACTTATCTTAATGAGGCAAATATTGATATTGCAATACTTAACAAAACTTGGTTTAAAACTCCATAGCTGATAGCGAATTCCTGCACCCTGATAGATATAAGATATTTCGCTCTGACAGATCTAAGAAAACTCATCCACCTGATCCCTCTAATCCGACCCGGTTTAGGAGAAATGGTGGCGGGGTCATGATTGCTGTTTGAGCAGACCTTCAATTATCTTCGAAAGAAATCCGACTTAAAGAGGGGGCTGAGATTCTTGCTGTGGAGTTTACAAAATCAACGGGCATTAAATTTGTTATCTGTACATGTTATCGTGTTGGAACACTGGGCTTTGCAAATCATGAAAAAATTCTTGGATCTCTGAAAACTCTTCTTCGGAGAAGAGGGCTAAGCAAAGTTTTCATCCTGGGAGATTTCAACCTGACTGGAGTCTCCTGGACTACCTTGGCTGGCTCCTGTCCTATTGAGCAGATTTTTGTTGAATCTTTTGTAGACCTTGGCCTTCGGCAATGTGTACTTACACCCACCCATTGCAAAGGCAAAACACTGGACCTTTTGCTCACAAACTCTGAGTCTAATATCAGTGACCTAATGGTAGGTGAGCGAGATAGCGTCTGTAAGTCTGATCATTTTCCAATCAACTTTAAGATCAACATTAAGGTAAATAGGAAGAAGCCGGTTAAGCGTATGTGCTATAACTATAAAAACGTGAACTGGGAGAGGCTAAACCATGAACTCCGGCACACAGACTGGAATGCATTGCTTAATGGCACAGAACCTGAAATTGGGTGGAAAAAATTTAAGGAAAAACTTTTCAATATAACTGACAAATTCATCAAGAAATGCTCAGTTAAGACAGATGGACAAGATCCATGGTTTGACTCAGAGTGCTATGATGCATGGCGCAAGAAAATAAGACTGATTAAAGATAGACATAAAAGCGATAGAGCCCAAATAGCGTTCTCCCTCGCCAGGAAAAACTTCAAAAATGTGGTTGCTCAAAAAATGCGAGAAACATTAAATGAATCAGATGATAGCGCTCTTGTAACAAAAAAATTCTGGTCATATGTAAAATCAAAAACAGCTAGTCAAAGAATTCCTGAGTTTGTAAGCTACAAAGGCATTGTCCGCAACTGCCCAGAGGACCAGGCCAACTTATTCAATGGCTTTTTCTTCGAGCAGTTCTCTGAAGCATCATTATACGACATAGATATTGATTATTCAAACGATTGGCGCTTTGATATTGCATTTGACCACCAAAGGGTCCGTAAAATCCTTTCCAACATTAACTCTAACAAAGCTTATGGGCCTGATGGTATTCATGGGAAACTTTTGAAAAACTGTGCTGTTGGGCTTGCATACCCATTATCACTATTATTTCATTCATGTTACAACATTGGGACATTACCTAGGGAGTGGAAACTGGGACACGTTGTACCCATATATAAAAAAGGTGATAAACATGAGGTTTCAATTTATAGGCCAATATTCCTTACATGCTTAATCACCAAAGTTCTTGAACGCATAATAAAATATGAGTTACTTGCACTTACTTACGGCATGATCAACGATAAACAACACGGTTTTCGAGCTGAAGGATCATGTGCAACTAATCTTGTAGGTCTATGTGACAGCCTAGCTCTCTCACTGAATGAAAATATGACACCAGGTGTAGTCTACTTTGATTTTGCCAATGCTTTTGACTCGGTTAACCATGATCTTATATTATTTAAGCTAAAGAGCAAATTTGGTATTGATGGGAGGCTACTGAAATTCATCACTGATTATCTAAGAGACAGGCAACAACAGGTCTTGATAAGTGGCAAGTTTTCTTCTATGAGAAACGCCCAGTCTGGTGTACCACAAGGGTCAATTTTGGGACCGTTGTTGTTCATTATGTTCATTGATGATATATCAGTGGGGATTTTCACCATGCACACAACTGTCACTGTATGCCGATGATACTAAAATTTGGCGTAAGATTGTTTCGGAGTCTGATATCCTGCGACTGCAGAAGGACATTGATTATAAACCCCTCCGGGATAGAATAAGATTCTGATAATCCCGGCTCCCGCTAAATAGATTCTGATAATCCCGGCTCCCGCTGTTAGTTTTTGCCGCTGAATAAATAACCCCGGCACAGCTTTTATAATCCCGCCCCGCTAATTTGGCTCAACAAGATTTGTTTTGTTTTGACATTCCATGAGAATTTCAACCGCGTACTGTCACGTGTTTTGATGACGTGTATCACGTGACTAACTACTACGACGCGCATTGGTAAAAAATGTCACGTGACCTATGGCTTAACGTAAGAACTATAAATACACTCGATCTACGTATCGGTCTAATTGCAGGCGCTGGCAAAACTCCAGCACACTGCTTA